TGAACACCGAGTGTGTGAACACCCAGTGTGTGAACACCCAGTGTGTGAACCCCGAGTGTGTGAACACCCAGTGTGTGAACACCGAGTGTGTGAACCCCGAGTGTGTGAACCCCGAGTGTGTGAACACCCAGTGTGTGAACCCCGAGTGTGTGAACACCCAGTGTGTGAACCCCGAGTGTGTGAACACAGAGTGTGTGAACCCAGTGTGTGAACACCCAGTGTGTGAACCCAGAGTGTGTGAACCCAGAGTGTGTGAACACCGAGTGTGTGAACCCCCAGTGTGTGAACCCCCAGTGTGTGAACCCCGAGTGTGTGAACCCCCAGTGTGTGAACCCCGAGTGTGTGAACCCCCAGTGTGTGAAACCCGAGTGTGTGAACACCGAGTGTGTGAACCCCGAGTGTGTGAACGCAGAGTGTGTGAACGCAGAGTGGTACAGCCTCAGGAGACGCAGATCAAGCCAGGGAAACAGCAACTGCTTAATCCACAGTTCTTCTCCCATCCTTTTCTTAGTCCTGACAGGAACTCCTTATTCCTCTCAGGCCAAGCTGCTTTTTCTATTTGTCTCCCTCCCACCTCATACATAGCAAGCAGCCTGGTGGCACGGTGGGTTAAGAACTGAGCTACTAACCAGCAGGTCAGCGGTTCAAATTTACTAGTCGATCCTCAAGAGAAAGATGCGGCTGTCTGTTCCTGTAAAGGTTTACAGTTCTCAGAAACCCTAAAGGGCAGTCCTCCTATCCCAGAGAGTCAGCACGGTCAGAATCAACTCTATGGCAGTGGAGTTGGAATCTCAGAGGAAGTCTGGGTGGTGCACAGTTAAGCACTCAACTACCAGCGAAAAGACTGGCAGTTGAAATACATCCCGAGGTGCTTAAGAAGGCAGGTCTGGCGATCAGCCTCTGGAAGTTCACAATCTTGAAGACTCTATGGAGTTCTAGTACTCTACATGTAACACAGGGTCACCGAGAGTCGAAATTAACATGACAGCAACTAACCAGAACCACCTAGGAGGACTGTGGGGTGAACTCAGTGAGAAGAGGAACAAAAAATCATTTCAACAAGCTACTTCACTTCCCGTCCCTACACACCAGTTTCCTCATTGTTCCAATGGAATCAGCTGACTTTGTTGATATTCCTGGACACTTTCCAGCCCTGAGCCCACTGACTGTACGAATCAGGCTTCATGGCCATGATTCACTCTGTTTAAGTTGAGGAAGCAAAGGCTCAGAAAGTAGAAGCAACCTACTGAGGCTGTACTGATTCACATGCTCAACCCTGGCCTAGTTCTTGGGTCTCTCTTCTTCTATGAACCCTGGATCTCCAGATTCATAGTCACCTGGAGAACCACGGAGATGGTCTTCTCTCCTGCCTTGGCTGCCCGCCATTTCCGGTATGTGTCCGCCTTGAGAAGGTTTTCTGCGCAGTGGGTCTGGAGACAGGAGTGGGAAAGAGAGGTTAGGGCACAGACATGCAGAACTCAGAATCCTCCCAAGTGCTTTACCATTCCCCAGATTTATTACATTCCCTTGTTAATCCCCCACAAGGAGTCTTGGTGATGCTCTGGTTAAAAGTGCTCAGCTGCTAACCCAAAGGTCAGCAGTTCAAACCCACCAGTCACTCTGTAGCAAAAAGATGTGACATACAAGTCACTGTTGTTGTTAAGTGCCATAGGGTAGATACCAATTCACAGCCACTTCCGAGGCTGCAAATCTTTGCGGGAGTAGAAAGCCTTGTAGTTCTCCCACAGAGCTTCTGGTGGGCTCAAACCGCTGATTTTGTGGTTCGCAGTTCCGGGTTTACCCTATAGAAACACTGCGCTCCGCCATAAGGGCTAGTCTTGGAAACCCTATGGAGCAGCTGGACTCTCTCCTGCTATGGTCACTGTGAGTTAGAATCAACTCCTCGGCAGTGGGCTATGGTTTCTGGTGATGTCCCTACCCCCTGCCTTGTGGAGCTATATGATAAGCACTCGACCTCTCCAGCCGCCCCTCGGAAACCCTGCACAGGCTTGCTATGGGTTGGAACAGACTCGACTGCACTGCCAACACTCCTCCTTTCCACTCCGGAAGTTCCCCATATGCCCGGAAGTTCCCGTATCCCACATCTCCCACAGAATTTACTAAGAGGCTGTATATTTATTTACCCACAGTCCTTCATAGATTTTCCTGAAGTTCCCTTTTATACCCCAAAAGTTCTTGTACAGACCTCCTCATTAATCCCCTTACGTGTTCCAACCTCCCCACATTGGCCCTCACCGAGTCCTGGCTGCTGCAGGACACGACATGACGGAGGCGGATCTCCGGCATATCAGCGTCGTGACCGTCCCCCAACCCAAAGAAAGTTGTGGGGGGGTGGAGTCAGGATTTGGGAGCTGGGAAGGGGTACGCTTCGACACCGGATTCTGTGCGCTACGACACGGGCTCCAGTGCGCAAGCGCGCAGGGCTCGGGCCTTTCAAACCCCGGCGCGCCGTCGCTCGCGTCGACATTGCGCGTGCCCAGTCGTGCCTCTACGGAGAGACGCGCCAGGTACCCTAGCAACAAGCTTTACTTGGTCTTGCTTATCTCAGATTCCAATACTCTCTAGTCCCGCCTCCCGGTGACGTCTACATTCTGCTTTCTGGGCGCCTAGCAACAGGAGCGCCCTCTAGGATTGGTTCCCTAGGAGAAATTCTTCATTCTCATTGGACAACGTAATCACTGCCCAAACTGAAGCCTACAACGCTGGAGGACTGCCAACACGAGTTGGTATTTTGCGGGAACCCTGGAGCCTACCTTCACAGGATGGCCCTCCCCAAACTCCCGTGACTTCAAGTCTCCCCACACACACACACACACATACACACACCCAACCTAGAATGCGCTCACCCATGCCTCAGTTTCCCAATGTGACCTGTGAGTCTGCGTTTCCTGTCACTCCCACCCCAGGCCACTGACAGGCACCTTTCTGTTCGAGCCCCTAGAGCCCCAGGCGGGTTGGCGCCTGAGAAAGCACGAATACATAGACGGGAATATGAGCCAAGTGCTAGAAGGAAAAGAGGAGGAAGACAAGTCGCCCAGGTCCCTGCAGAACAAGCCTGGACCTGCTGGGCACTCCCAGGTGGGGCCCCACCCACGCTAGACGCCTCCTTGGGAAGCGAGAGGGGATTCCGATCCTTGCAGTTGCTTCATACATGCAGGAAATAAAATGACCCCACTCACATTTTGGACTTTGGATAAAGAAAATTGGCGGTGGGATGGGGAAGACGAGAAAGTGACCTTCTGCGTCCTTAGACAGAGGGAGCTGAAAGTCGGGACTCTCTACGGGAGATCTCCGAGGGGAGAGGAGGGCTGGGCACCAGATGCCTGGGTCCCTTTAGGATGCTGGTTCCGCCTCCCCTACCCGGGGGCTGCAGAGGCCTGCTCTCGGCTCTGACCTCAGCTCGTTCTCACCCCAGGGTGAAGGTGGGTCCGGACCCGCCCCTCCTCAGCTTCCTATAAGGGCTGGGGACCTAGGATTACTGGTTCACACATCATGAGGACTTCTGCAAGCCCCCGGACCTTCCTGCTGACCTTCACGCTGCTATGCACCCTTCTGGGTCTCGGTGAGTGTCTGAGACCCTGGACTCCCGGGATCCCTCACTCAGGAAAATGGAGACTCTGAAAGAGCATTCAGCAGAGGTGGGAGGGGAAGGGAAGGTTACCCACCCCCCGCAGGAATACGGATTCATGAAGGAGGCAGGGGCTAAAGGAAAATTGCGTGGGGCCTCATGGGAGGAAATACACAAGTACTGTCCCAAAGTAAGACGTGCAAATTCTAGAAAATCAGATGAGAGCATGACAAAAAAGAACAAAGGCTTGAGAATGAGAATGTGAATGAAAGAGGGTGCCTTTCTACCTGGACTCTTAAAGACTTCAGACTCATCCCCTTCTCCCTCAGATCTAGGAGTCCCCTCCTTTGTCAGCACCCAGCACTCATGGTCCTCACCCTCCCTTCCTGGTCTGGGATGCAGACCCCAACTTCGGTATTGCTGCCTGAGCTCCTACTGTCTCCCAGACCTACCTCTATCTATCTACCAGGGGGAGGGCGCACACCCACCAACCAGCTGAACCTGAAACTTCATCAAAGTCCAGGAAAGCCATGACCCCTCCCTGTTCTGAGTTTTCTCAGTGGATCCTGTTGTTCAAAGCCCCCAGCCTTGTAATTAGGGAAACAGGCTCCCAGGTGGAGTCGCCTCCTGCCCTGGGAGTAGCTTTGCTAGCATCATTACCACGCCCCTGTCAACAACTCTGGACAGTTCCCTGGACACAGGTCAATGAAATACCAGAGACACACTGTCCCCTCCTCTCTCAAGACCCATGGGTCCAGACCCCTACCTCCAGTCCCCTTCCCCTCATCTCTGTGAAGTTGAAGATCTCACCACCCTTGACTACAGTCCCAACCTCTGCCTTACAGGATGCCCACTCAGCTGTGAAGTGTGTAAAGGCTCCGGACCCACATGCAATGGAAAAGTGAAGCCGTGTGAGGATGGCAAGGACGCATGCGTGGTCATTGTGGGGGAGTCCAGCACAAGTAGGAGCTCTTAACTGGGCGACTGGGAGGTAGAGGGAAGGGGAGAACCTTCATGGTCAGAAGAAGAGGCCTCCGAGTGGTGAGGGGTAGGTGTGGGAGGAGATGTTCATTGGTCAGAGTTCATGGGAAGGGTGGAGCCTGGAAAGAAACTGGGGTGGGGGTGGGGGTTGTTGTTAGGTGCCCTCCCGTGGGTTCTGAGTTTCTGCGTTTCTGAGTTTCCGGGGTTCCGAGTTTCCGGGTTTCCGCGTTTCCAGGGTTCCTAGGTTAACCTTTACGGGGAGTCCTGGTGTGGCGCTGTGGGTTAATGTGCTGGACTGTAAAGTCGGTTTGAACCGAAAGGCCAACGGCTCAAGCTCACCAGCGGCAAATTGGAAACCCTATACAGGGTTGCCATGGGTTCGAACTGACTTGATGGCTCTTAACAACAACAACAAACCTTTACAGAGGCAGAGACTCTCACTTAATCCTAAGAAGAGGCTGGTGGGTTTGAACTGTCAACCTGTGGATAGCAGTCCAGAGCTTATCTTACAGTGCCACCAGGGCTCCTCTGGATGGGGGTTGTTGTTAAGTGCTGTGGATTCGGTTCTGACTCATATAGATCCTGTATAGGAATCTTAGCCACCCTGTATGTGGTTTCCAAGGCTCTAAATCTCTGTGGGAGCAAAAAGCCTCATCTTTCTCCTACAGAGCGACTGGTGGGCTTGAACCACTGACTTTATGGTTCACAGTCCAGTGCTTATCGTACTGACCCACTGTGCTCTGAATAGGAGTAGTTGTTATTGTTGTTATTAAGTGCTGTCCAGTTGGTTCTGACTCATAGCGACCCTGTATAGGGTTTCTGAGAAGTGGTTGGTGGGTTTGAACTGCCAACCTTGTGATTCAGTCCAGTGTTGATCCTACAGCACCACATCAGGAGTCCAAAAGAGGGTATTGCTGTTGTTGTTGTTATGTACCGTCGAGTCAGTTCCAACACGCAGTGACCCTGTACAGGGTTTCCAAGGCTGTAAATCTTTAAGGAAGCCGAAAGCCTCATCTTTCTCCTGCAGAGTGGCTGGTAGTTTTGAACCGCTGACCTTAAGGTTCACAGCCCGATTCTTAACCACTACGCTACCAGAGCTCCTTAGAGAAGAAGAAAACATTTCAAAATGGAGGGTGGACAATTCAATGGAGACAGAAACTGTCTTTTCTATTTCAAAAAAATGAGCGACTCTAGAAAAAGAAGGCTGCAGTAGGGTAGGGGGTAAGAGGTCTAGAAAAATTGTGAAAATAGAAATCTAGTAGGTAAAATGGAGACTGGGAAGAGGTAAAGAAGGACGAGAGTGGAAATGGGCAGAGAATGTGATGGGGGAAGAGATCATCTTGGAGGAGAGGGAGGAAGGGGCCACCCCAGGCAGGGTGTACATAGAGCTGGCTGGAAGATACTGTTCTGACTGGAATTGGAGAGATGATGTTGTAGTAGAGGGGGTAGCTTTAGGGGGTTGGAAGAGACCATTCCAGAGGAGAGGGAAGATAACCATGAGTTATGGAGAAAGGCATCCTAAGAAGAAGTAGAAGTTGGGGAGACAGAGACAGAATGTCAAATGGATGGGAGGGGAGCAAGGGGAGCCTGCCTTCAATGGAAGAGACTATCCAGACCTGAGGAAAGTTGGGGGGAAGGAAGGTTGCCAATGGAAGAGACCACTGAGGGTGGGGCGACTTTCATTCCCAAGAGAAATGATGGGGCACAATAATAAACTAAAGGCTGTGACCAGAAAGGAGGGGTAACCTGAGTGCTAGAAGAAACCATCCTACAGGAAGGGTTGTGTAAGGAAAGTGGGTGTTGACGGGTGGAAGAAAGGACCTGAAATGTTTAAAGAGACCACCAAAAGCAGACACAGGGAGATATGAACCCGGAAGGAGTTTAGAAGGAGCTAGAGAATTGCCACCCTTAGGGGGCAGGGGAGGGGGAGGCAAACATCTTACTATGTTGGAAGAGGGCATATAATGACATCAAACAAAAGACATCAAGGGAGTCTGGAAGAGACCACCCTAGACAGAGAAGGGGTATAGAGGTGGGGGCAGGTATCCTAGGGTTTGTTGGAAGGGACCACCCCAGGCAGAGAGTGTGAAAATCTTGCAGTTGGAAGAAATCACAGGCGTTCTGCTCCCATAAAGATTTACAGCCTCGGAAACCCTGTACAGGGTCGCTATGAGTCAGAACTGACTCCATGGCACATAACAACAACAGACATGGGACGTAGCCGTGGATGGCCTGAAGAAAACTTCTACAGTCTGGACACGAGAGAGGGTGGTCATGGGATGGAGTGAGAGAGACCATGTCAAGCAGGCCCCTGGAGTTTTGGCAATAGAAAGCTACAAGAGACCACCAAAGGCCCACTGTGAGTAGGAAAACAACTAAGTTACTGGCACTGCGTCAGTTCTGACTCATAGCGGCCTATAAGCCTTTACAAGCCTCTTGGTTCTACTGCTGGTAGCTAGCTTTCAACCACAGACTTTTGTGGTTAGCTGCCCAAAGCTTACCCTACAGCACTACCAAGGCTGTTTTGTGAGCAGGAAGGGCTTACTCAGTATCCCCTGGAATCCTGGTGTGGTTCTGTAGGGTTCTAACCCACCAGCTGTTCCTGGGAAACCCCATACAGTGTTACCGTGAGTCAGAACAACAATAAAGGATACCCTGGCTGACCAAGGGCCATAGCTTTAGGGAGGTTGGAAGAGGCCACCCAGGCAAATAAGGAGGGATGTAGATTTGGGGTTGGAAGAGCCCATGCAAGCAATGGCAGGATGAAAGAGGTGTGGGGTTGGACGAGCACTGGAGGTTGAAGGATGGATGTGGTCAGATGCACTGTCCAGCCCTGCTTTGCCCATCCTCCACCCCACAGAGGGCCGCCATGCGGTGAACACCTACAAGGCCTGCATGAAATTCAAAGACTGCTACTCTGGCGTCGTGTCCACCACCATGGGCCCCAAGGACTACATGATTTCCAACGCACGCTGCTGTCAGAGCGACGGCTGCAACCAAGGCTCCCTGCCCGGTACGCCTGGTCTGGGGATCCCCTTCCAGCCCCGGCCCAAGAGCCCACCAAGAAAACTCCGGGCCGCAGTCACCTCGCTTTTTCAATAAAGCCTGGCTCAGTGTTCCCCAGGGTAACTATGAGGTTGGGGATAGGGCTTACACTTCCGGTTCACCTGAGCTCTCCCCTCACCCCCAGCTCCTCAGAACAATCGCACGGAGAATGGGCTCCAATGCCCCTCCTGCATTGCGCCCTTCCATGAGACGTGTTCCAGTACCCAGGCAGCCCGCTGTGTTGGGCATGAGACCCACTGCATCTACTTCGCTGGCAATGTGCAGGCTGGTGAGGAGCGCCTGGGTCCTTGGATGGGGGAGTCGGGGTTTGGAACTGGAGACTCAGATTTCTGGTTTCCAGGAGTAGGGGGTGGGGGCCGGCAGAAGAGAGTCAGAAAAACCCAAGCCCACGGGTTGTGAAGGTGTAGGTGGGAGGATGCTGGGGGACCTGGGCTTCAGTCTGAAATTCCCCTTCCCAGGAATCATCAACACCAGGTTTGCTACTCAGGGCTGTGCTACAGAAAGTGCCTGCTTCACCAAGCCCGGGTCCGAGGTGCCCTCAGCCTCGTACCTCTACTTCCTGCGCCGAGCGGACTGCCTCCCAGCCCCCAAGCCATCTGGCAGGGCTGAGTGAAGAGCTCCAGGCCTCCATTTGTCCCCCATGTGCCTGAAAATTAAAGGGTTAACAGAGCAAGCCTTGAGTCTTTGTGGTTCTAGAAAGAGAACCACTATGTGGTTCTAACACATAGTGACTCCGTATAGGTTTCCCAAAGTGTGGCTGGTGGGTTGAATGCAGTCCAGTGCATTATCCTGCAGTGCTAACCAAGACCAGCTTTTTAGGCCCTTGACTATCTCTTTGTGAGGAAGAGAGGGAAAAGTCCTGTGTTTTATTAAGCAATTATTCTCTATTGGACCCCTATGCTAATTTGCTGTGGTTCTCCATACTGCACCTCATTTCATCCTTCCCACGATGGAATGAAGTTGATATGACTCATATGAGCTCCCATTTTACAGATGAACAAACTGAGGCACAGACTGTGGAAGTCCCTTGCCCTGGGTCACACAGCTAGGGAGCTGTCAGGGGACTCTTGTCAGTTTCTGGGACCCAGGATCACTCTGCTGACTAACTTCTCCCTCTCTTGGCCTCAGGTTTCCTGCCTACAAAACATGGATATTAATAGTTACAACCTGTAGGATGGTTTTAAGAGACAAATGAAAGAAACTTCAAAAGTTCTTAGTGCAGGGCCTCTGAGACAATTTAGGTTGTAGAGATGGTATGGCTGAGTAAATAATAATTATCGAAATAGCTGCCACTTACTGGTATTATTCAAGGCAGGCTAGATTATACTACATTGGTTTTGGTAGTGGTTATGTGCCATGAAGTCAAGTCCGACTCATAATAACCCTCTCTAGGGTTTCCGAGGCTGCAGATCTTTATGGGAGCAGAAAGCCTCATCTTTCTCCTGCAGAGCAGATGGTAAATTCAATCTGTTGACCTTGATTTTAGTAGCCCAATGCATAACCGTCTACACTACCAGAGAGCCTTATACTGCAGTTTGTTGTTGTTAATCAACACTATATAGGATTTCCAAGGAGCAGCTGGTGAGCTCGAACCACCGACCTTGCAGCCCCTAATCTCTACAGTTTAAAATAACAAAGGTATATTAGACATCTAATGTCTCCATGATGCCACGTAACAAGTCATCCTAAAACACAGAGACAGAATAAGCATTTTCCTTTCAATAAGAGTTCATAGGTGACTCTGCTGCCAACTGTGAATTGGCTGGTTGGCTCCTGTTTGGGGCTAGGGCTCAGGTCTCCTGCATGGGTTTCCACAGTCTCCTAGGGAATGTTCTTCTCAAGACAAAAGCACAGAGCACAGAAGCTAAGGGCATTGAAGGTCACTGCTCTGGGGCATGTCTGCTACCATTGCATTGGCTAAAGTAAATCATACAGGCCAACCCAACATTAATGGAGTGGGAAGGAAGTATGTGATCTCCAGTAGTGGGGTTAGGGGAGTGGATGTTTTTTAAACAAGTGCCCTTTCACAACAGGTGGGTTTTTTTCTTACTCTCCATGACGGCTGGGCGCCATCTACAGCAGTTTCTTCTCATCATAGTCATGGGCAGGATCCATCCCTCCCTCCATCCACCCCTCCATCCATCCATTCAATAGAAGGTTTCTGAGACCCTAAAACTTCACAGGTGCAGACAGCCTCATCTTTCGCCCCAGAACAGCTGGTGGTGGGTTTGAACCAATATGGCTGTTACTAAACCAACACCTAGCCCACAGTGCCATCGGGGAAAAAACACAGGCCACTCAGAAGAGCCTTAACACAATTGGTTGTTAGGTGCTGCCAAAGGAGCTCTGGTAGCATAGTGGTTACGAATCGGGCTGCGAGCCACAAGGTCAGCAGTTCGAAACTACCAGCTGTTCCATGAGAGAAAGATGAGGCTTTCTGCTCCTGTAAAGATTTACAGCCTCGGAAACCCTGTACAGGGTCGCTGAGTCGGAACCGACTCCACGGCACATAACAACAACAGCAGGTGCTGCCAGGTTCTCTCCGACTCATACCAACCCTGTGCACCACAGAAGGAAACCGTGCCCATCCTCACAATTGGAATGTCTGAGCCCATTGGTGATACCACTGTGCCAATCTAGCTTGTTGGGGTTTGCCTCTTTTTCTCTGACCCTCCACTTTCCAAGTAGTATGTCTTTCTCCAGGGTCTGCTCCCTTCTGATAATATGTCCTAAGTACAAAAAACAAAGTCTCAACATCCTTGCTTTAAGGAGCATTCTGGCTGTACTTCTTGCAGCACAGATTTTTCTTCTGATAGTTCATGAGTTCAAATGCATCAGTTCTTCTAAGGTCTTTCTTATTCATTGTCCAACTTTCACATACATAGGATATGATTGAAAATACCATGGCTTGGAGCTGGAACACCTTAGTCCTCAAACTGGTATCTTTACTCTTGAATACTTTGAAGCAGATCTGCTTAATGCAGTGTGTCATCTGACTTCTTGACCATTGCTTCCTTGAGCGATGATTGTGGATGTAAGCAAGTTGAAGTTGGACAACTTCTGTCTTTTCACCATTTATCATGGTTCGGTTGTGAGGATTTTTATTTTCTTTATATTGAGGTGCAATCATACTGAAGGCTCTAGTCTTCATACTTCACCAGTATTTCAAGATGTCTTCTCTTTCAGCAAGCAAATTGTGATGCCATGTTCTTCTGCATAGAATCCAGTTTCCCCCATTATTTGCTCAACATACAGATTGAATAAGTATGGTGAAAGGATACAACCCTGGCTCACACCTTTCCTGATTTTAAACCATTCAGTATAGCTTTGTTCTGTGGGATACTTGTATCCAACTGCCTCTTGGTCGATGTACAGGTTTCTCATGAGCTCAGTTAAGTGTTCTTTACAATGCAGTAGAAAGCCTTTGCATAGTCAATAAAACACAAGTAACTAAAAGAAACATTCTTCAGTGGTTACTAGGGGTGGGAGGGAAGGGAGAGTAACTCATTGGTTAGAGAGTAGACACGGGTAGCTCAGGCAATGGAAGGGGCAATATACAAGAAGGTGGGTAGCAGAAGAATGGTGAAGATACATGAAGACACATTAGTATGTATGGGCTAAATGGGGTCGAGGCAGTGGCATATATATACAAACCCTGGAACAACAGTGTTCTGTGCATAAATACAAGGACTGAGACATAGGCTGAATGGGTAAGGGAGGATGAGTGGGATTATATAACTCACAAATAATATGAGTCTGAAAGAGGATATTTGTACATGAGTATTTACCTTTCCCTGCAAACACAACTTTAAATGGGGTGAAGCATACAACAGGAAAAAGGATGAAAACTTCTGAGATCTTATCACACATCTTAAGGCAATGAGTTCCTGGGTCTGGGAGCTCAGGACCATGGTCTCAGGGGGCACCAGGGTCAATTGACAGAACACAGACCACAAAGACAATGTTTTACATCCTGCTTGGGTGATTAGCGTCTGGGATCTTGAAAGCTCACGAGTGGCTGTCTTAGGTACAGCTGTTGGTGTCTCCATGTGCACAAGAAAGAAGAGTGATCAGAATTGAAGAGACTTGGAATCATTAGTCCAGTGGAGACCAGAAGAACGAGACGATTACCAGTTACCATTACCAACTACTCTGAAAAGGATTACAGATAGAGTGGGAGAAAAATGTGAATCAAAACTAAAAATTATTTAAAAAAACAAAACTGGGTTTACTGGTCAGAGAGACTAGAAGAATCTGAGACTATGGCCTTCGACCACCCTTCAGGTCTGGAAAGGAACTCACCCTTTGGGCCCAATTTTTAGCCAAGTAGTAGATAGGGATGGGTGGGGGCAACATAAACCACATTTACTCACCATGGAATGGCCAGTCATTCAAAACCCAGAGGGCAGCATTCTACTAAGGGCAGAGTTGAGGAGGGGATGGAAGGTGGGTGGAATGGAATTAGAAACCACAGGGAGGAAGTGGGATGTTACATGGGGGGGGGGGGGGGCGGGGGGAATTGCAATCACTGAGATGAAACAGAGTATATGATTTGTTGAAATAAAACTGATGATCTTGTCTGTAAACCTCTCAATTCACAATAAAAAGTTGTCAAAAATTAAATCATGGAGACCTTTTCTGAAAGTCAACAAACAAAAATATCACGTCCTTTTTCTGAATTTGGCTTGAATTTCTGGTAGCTCCCTCTCAATGTACTGCTGCAACCGTTTTTAAATTATCTTCACCCAAATTTTACTTGCATGTAATATTAATGATACTGTTAGATGATTTCTACATTCTGTTGGGTCACGTTTCTTCGGAATGGGCACAAGTATGGATCTCTTCCAATTGGTTGGCCAGGTAACTTTCTTCCATATTTCTTGACATAGATGCGTGAGTGCCTCCAATGTTGCATCCGTTTGTTGAAACATCCCATCACAACCCTGATCCAATGTAAGGGAGTTTCCCAGGGTTGTGCAACATCTTTTATCTTACAAAGATAAAAGGAGAGAGAAATTACCAGAGAGAGAGGGACCTACTACCACCAAGAAAGAAGAACCTGAAATGGAATGCATTCTTTGGATTTGGGGTCCCTGCGAAGCTCCTAGATCCATTGGAAGATTGATGCCAAGACACATGGAGATCTCCAAGGAAATGCTGGATCTATAGACACTGATTGGAAAGAGGACCTACCTTTCCTAGACCGGAAACAGAAGTCTTCTCCAGAGCTGGCACTTTGAATGTGGATTTCTAAGAGTGGTTACGAATGGGGCTGTGAACCTTAAGGTCAGCAGTTTGAAACTACCAGCTGTTCCGTGGGAGAAAGATGAAGCTTTCTGCTCCCATAAAGATTTACAGCCTCGGAAACCCTGTACAGGGTCGCTATGAGTCGGAACCGACTCCACAGCACATAACAATAACAAACTGTGAAAGAGAGTCCTGGTATGGCGCTGTGGGTTAATGCAAAAGACTGCAAAGCCATTTGAACTGCAAAGTTGGCGGTTCAAGCTCACCAGCTGCTCCTCAGAAACCTTATACAGGGTCGTTATGGGTCGGAATTGACTCGATGGCACTTAACAACAAACTGTGAAAGAATACATTTGTTTGTCAAAGTCAGCCTCTTGTGCTATATCTGTTATACCAGCACTAGAGAATTCAGACAGCTGGGCTCCTGGCAGAAAGGAAAAGGTCTCTGACTTGGAGAGGGGTGATGAAGCAAATCCCTTCAAGACAAATCAACATGAAATAGACATGTACAATGATTTCTATTTGTTTTTATTCATTCCTCCCAAAAGCACCACATGCCGACTACACTTAATTAACCCTTCTTGGTTCTGTACCCCAGTGGACACATGTCACCACATCATGCTCCAGGACTGTATGAATGAAGGTGAGAAGATTGTCTCTTGCCCTCACCAGCTACTGCTTTCTACTTCAGTGGCCGCCAATGATTCATCCTACATTTCTGCCTTGGAGGGTCTTCCAGTCTGGGGGATGCCACATAGAAACACCAGGGATGCTTCCCCAGGGAATCACGCAGTCTTTTCTCCTTGGATGCTCCTGGATACAGATGCTCAGTAGTAACCTTGTTTTAGAGTTCAGTTCTAGCAGAAGACATGATTCAAAAGGGAACTACCCCAAACAGTAGTTGAAAACACCCAAGAATGTCAATATACAAGCTATGTAAACACAAATACAACCACCCATCCCCATCACACACGGGAGTCTGGCTTTCTCAGATATGACCTCTGGCTTGATTCCTTCTGGCATGAGGGGCAAAGGGAATTCAGAGCAGAGAAGCAGAGGGAGCCAGGAATACCAAGGTTAGGAGCAAATCAGACTGTATTGGAGATGTGGCATAGAGGGAGGGCACTGGGTGAGCCAAGAGATGGTACTGACAGGTGCCCAGACTACCGCTGAGGCTGAGGGTGTATGGGTGGGTGGGTGGGGGGACTCTTTGTCAGGTTTCCCAGGAGATTCTGTTTTGTCATCACTGCATTCTCACAATAACCCTGCGAGGTTGAAGCAATTTGCTGAGTGATTGATTTGACCAAGGTCAACCCCAGAGTCAGTAGAAAGGATTCCTGTGCTGTGCGATTTTCTGTGATAGTGATAACATTCTACATCTGTGCTGCTCAACATGGCAGCCACTAACCATACGTGGCTAGTAAGCACTTGAAGTAGAGCTAGTTTGGCTGAGGCTGAATTTTACTTACTTTAGATCTGCCTTTAAAAAGTCCCAGCCATTGAAAACTAACGGAGCTCAGTTCTACTCAAAGAGCATGGCGTCACTGGGAGACAGCATTGAATTGATGGCAACTGGTTGGTTAATTAGCTTAAAAATGGATATTCATCTCAGTTATGGGAAAACTATGAACTAGGAATGTTAAAAAAGTACTGCTACAAAATCAGAGACACCTTGATAAAAACAAAACTATCAAATGGAAGCCTTGTTTGTTGACGTATCTTCCATCTAGTTCTATGTGCTTTTGAAGGCAGTTGTTACATTTCTCTAACCCTTCCCCAGAGAATTCTGCACTCAACACAAGTTTGGCAGCCTTGAGAGACTCCAAGTGTGTTCCTACTCAATGTTCTTGTTAGATAAAAAGAAGTCTGAAGGACCAAGAGCTGAGTTGTCGGGTGGGTGGTAGGATTTCCCCATACATCCTCATAGGCCAACTCTTCCTACCCTCCAGTTGTTTTCATGGAAGACAGGATCTCAGTGCAACTTTCCTGACCTTTTTCTCACCAATGCAGTTTTCCATTTCCTCAAAGGTTCTAGTAAAACCCGTGATTCTCCAGCGGCCTCTGAGAAAATCCATCAAGATGATTCTTTGGGAATCCCAAAAGTCACCATAACCTTCTGAGCGGACCTCTCCGCCTTGAATTTAGCTGGACCAGCAGATCACCTTGGAAGCCAGTTTTAAGTAGACTTTTTCTTGAAGGCATCCTAATGAGACCCAGACAAGCAGACTGCTGAGTTACAGTCACCCACTGATGGTTAAACACATTTTATTTAGATTGAACCCAGATATGTGTACACAGGAACCCTAGCAGCAATACTTTTTGACTTACCCTAGTAAAATGGGGTAATTTGGGTACATGAATCACCGTGAGTCAGAACTGAGTCAATAATAACAGAAGTTCCTAAGAGCATGACCCATTCAATAAATAAATCTCATCTGAGGAGATACCTCATCTGGGCCACTTTAATTTGATGGGGCAGTTTGTGCCAGTGATGGGAGCTCCACACGGAGATGGAGAGAGCCATCCCTTAAGTCTTCTTGAGAGTGTTTAACGCTGTTTTCGACTGACCAGGGTGCTAAGATCTGGGAAGTCTTTCTGTTCTCAGTCAGCCCTGTCATTTCACAGATGGGAAGACAAGGTCCTGGTCAAATTACGCAGACCAATGGCAAAGCTGTGTTTGCTTCCCTGGTGCCCTGACCTCAGACTTGCTTTCCTATTAAATACTTTGGTTTCTCCACTCTTGCTCCTTTTCTGTCTCACAGGGAAGAGTTCAGCCCTTTGAATTTTAGCCCTAGTTCTGCCACTGATTAATGAATTAAAGTCCTAAATACGAAGAACCTACTGTCTGCCAGGCACTGTTCTAGGTGTTGGGGATACAGCAAAGAACAAGACAGGCAAAGGGACAATTGCTGATAAATAGGTAAATAAATAAAGATCATACTTGATTGTCATAATTGGTACAAGGAAAATCAACTGCGTTAGATGAACAATGGGGGTGTAGAAGCAACCCTGGGATTCCCTAGGTAGTACAAACGGTTAACACACTCAGCTACTACTTCAAGGTTGGAGGTTCAAGTTCACCCAGAGGCACCTTGGAAGAAAATCCGGGCAATCTACTTCCAAACAGTCAGTCATTGAGAACTCCATAGAACAGTTTTACTCTGACACATACGGGGTCACCATGGCATCTGGGTGAGTTAGGGCAATCGGGGAAGGCCTCTCAGGGACATTCGAGCAGAAATCAGACAAGGAAGAGTCTCTCATGGGGTGATCTGAGGGCAGCACATTACAAGCAGAGAGAACAGCAAGTACAAAGGTCCTGAGGCGGGACCCAAGGTAGCCCATGCAAGCATCACAAGGAAGACCTATCATGCTGATTGGGAATAGGGATGTCAAGGAATGAGGGCAGGCAGGGGCCAAACCATGAAGGGCTTTGCTGTGTGACATTGAGCGAGAATTTCCCCTCTCTGGGCTCTGCTCCCCCCACTGATAAGTGTGTTGTTCTATTTGACGTACATGTAGCTAGCAGCCTGAAATGTTCTAGGCACTGTGGTTTCTGCCTTTGCCTCACTTGGGGCACATTCTCATACAGTCGTCCTGTGGGTTCTAGTTCACGGCACACCTGAGGTCGCCCCAGAGAAATGTCTGTACTGGTGCAGCAGTGGAGTTGCTTTTCCAAAAGGGCAGGTGCGTGAAACAGCAAGGCCAGAAAGGGGTAGGGCTTAATGACAGAAGAAACCGAGACCAAAATGAGTCTGAAACCTCTGAGGAAGAGAGACAGAAGAAGGCTTCCTGGAGAGTCCCTGAATCACGCAAGGTCAGCACCTATAAAATGGGGGCGGCCAAAATCACAGAGTGATGAGCAGCCAACAGGGTCCAAATCTATGGGGTTTGTGGGAGATGGCTCTGAGGTCATGGATTTCTGCTGGTCCATACCCAGAAGATCTCATTCCTGGTCTTTGGTTATCCCCCTGAGCCCACAACAGCCAAACCTTCTGCCTTCTCCCCATGGTTTTTGCGAACCCATCCTCTCCCCTAAAGGGCAACAAATAATTCTGGCTCAACAGACCTACCCATGGAGAAGTAAATATTAAACATCCTTCCATACTTCCCAAGACTGACCCAGGGGTATCCTGTCCCTAATGCACATAAAGATTCAAAGCTCACTGACCTCTTTTAGACGTGGGAGGCAATGTGTTGGCCTTTGCCCCTCAGGAAACCTTCAAGGGTCCTAGCTCCCTGGGGTCTCCAGTCATGGGCCCCACCCACTAGGAATCACAGCCTTCACTCCCTCTCCTAGAGGATGAGATGTCCAACTTTTGTTTCTACTCTCTTGGAGACTACATGGGAACTCCAAGTCCGTTCTGGACACAGGAGTCTGGGTGTTAAAAGTCCCTAGTTCCCAAAGAATTCAAGAGTCCTGTTCCCAGGAATCTTATTTCCTTGCCAGGACCTAAGAGTCCCGGTATCACATGTCCCAATAGCAAGTCAGAATCCCCATCCCCTTCAGTCACCAAGGATTCTGGGTGGCTGTCACTATTCTGTTATCTTAGACACCCCGGGATCCCAGCCCTGTGTTTGGACCTCCAAACCCCTTCCTCTTTATAGGGGGCCCTCAAGCTCTGTTGGGCCAGCAGTTCGGGTGCTGGGCACTCCGGAAGCTCTGGTACCCATCTCCTTCTTACTGTGAGTGCGAAGGGAGTGCTAGTACAGCCTCCGCATCGGTCTGCATCTCATCCAGGGCTTGCAGCAGGACACCGTGGGCTGCGCGGTAGCCCAGACCCCCGGTGGCCGCTGCGCCGCCTGCAGGCCACAAGAAGGAAAGCGCTCCCAGAGCCGCACCTCCAGCCCTGCCCTCACCTGCCCACGCGCCCAACCTTTCTTCCACCTCAGCGCGCGTCACCGGGCCAGGAAAGTGTGCCCGAGTTGCCAGCTCCCCAGGAGTCAGGCCCAGCGCACGCTCACGTCGCGCCAGAGATGCTGGTTCGAGCCCCATAGCTCGCCGCCACTCCGCCAGCTGGCCCCGCAGAAGTGCCACATCACACGCCCAACCCAGCCCAGGTATTGGTGCTGCTGCCGCCGCCAGGCTAGCTAGCAAAGCCGGCCGCCATGCTCCAGCTCGCAGAGCGGAGGCCTTGGTTCGGGCTGCGGCTGGAGACGCTGGGGGCAGTGCCAACAGCAGCGCCCCTGCCTGGCTGGCGGGCAGCGCACGCCGCAGCCATTCGCAAAGCTCGGGAAGCCCACCAGGACGCAGTGGGAACACTGGTGGCGGCGCCTCCTCCAGCACCTCCCACGTTTCGTCCTCTGGGCTCAACGGAACGACAGGATCTGCATCCCCGCCGCCCGATTTCTTCACAGAAGCGCCAACCTGTTGCAAACTGTCGCTGCCTGCTTTCTCTGAACCGCTCGCACTGCCTGCCTTTGGTGACCCAGAGCCCGGTTTTTCCCTTCCCTCACTGAGTGGATTGTCCATCCCCGCTCCGCCTCCATTCTCTAAGCTCTCTCCATCACAGGGATTCTCCACCGTTTTATCTTCTTCCAAAAACTTTGGTTCTTTACCCTCGCCGTCTGTGCGCACGCAGACCAGGGGCGCATCTGGAGGTACCAAGGCGCGGACCTGTGCCCAGTCCTTCTCAGTGGGAGCCCCAGGTGTGATGAGGAGGACTGCATCGTAGTGAGTTGGTTGGAGTGTAGAGGCAGCGTCGGTAGCACCCTCGGGGCCCAGAGGCACAGTCCAGAGCACCACGTTGGGACGCTCAGGGGCCGGGTATGGTGTAGGTACCGCAGGCACACCAGCAGGCGCAGCACCGGGGTCTCCAGGATCCAAACCCAGTAGTAAGTCCAGCACAAGGCCTATGTCGGATGTGCCAGCCACAGCCAGGTCCACACGTGCGCTGCCGAGCCGCTCCAGCCCAGCGCGCACCCAGGACAGCGCTGCCTCCAGCCCGCCTGTCTCAAAGGCTTCGCGCACAGCCTCCAGTTCTGCCGCACCCAGCACCTCGAAGCCATCCTGGGCAGGTGGTAGTAGCCTGAGGATGAAGAGAAGGAAGGAGTCAAAAGGTCGAAGAATTTCCAGATGTCTCAAGCTGGCAGAAACCTTGTTAAAAACAAGAGGGCGGAACTTCAAGAGGGCGGAACTTCAAGAGGGCGGAACTTTCTGAATAATACAAGCATGAGGTGGGATCAGAGAAGGGAGGGGCCAGACTGACAGCAAAGCAAATAAATAGAAACCAAACAGGGCGGGACTATGGTAATAGGTTGGATCTACTTGCAGGGGGTTGGAACACTGATGAAGGGGTGAAGAGATTAGGAACAGCCAAGGATGACTATAGTGGGGGGGTTTTATGAGACCGGCTTTGTTGTTCACTGCCATTGAACCGATTCCTATTCATAGCAACCCTGTATAGGTTTTCCAAGAAATAGCTGATGGGTTTGAACCACTGACCTTGTGGTTAGTAATCCAGTGTTTAATCTTACTAAGTATCACCAGAGGATTTTAGGATTAAGAAAGCTAGAAATCAAGTTGGGAAAGGAAAAGCTAACAAAAGGTGGAGCTTGGGACAAAGAGGGAATCAGGACTGTATTGTGCTTTAAAGGAAGGAAAGGCAACATTAGAAATGGTTAAGGTCCCCAAGGGCAGGGTGCTCCTTCCTGAGGGGAGGGAGAGTACAAATTCCTACTAAAGATACATATAGTTGTAATCAGTTGGCTGACTGAACAGAAACTCACAACAATAGATTAGTGGGCGCTGAAACCAGAAGAGATTGGAGAGAGGAAGTGAAGGGTGCTCAAAATAATAAATTTCACTGAGGGCAGGGTTTTATGGCAACAGGGGTCTTGAAGACCAAGCTAGGGGAGTGGGGGATGGGAGAGTGTTCGCAGGCGGGAGTCTACAGGTAAAATCTTCCTTGGGATCAAACTTGTGAAGTCTCCTTCAAAAGTTTAGTTGCTGGTAGTATTAGGGTGATTGGTTCGGGCCTTTCCTCTAATTCTCCCTAGGGAGTGTGACCTTCTGATGTGGGGAACTCCTGGGGAACATTTGACTGGGGCGGGGCCAAGATGACCGAAAAGGGGCAGGCACTAAGTGGAATGTTGCTTACCTTCAGAGTCTGCTGTGGGGCGGAGCCAGGAGGCTGCAGCTGAGCCCAAAGTATGGTAGGGGTGCGGTCTCCAGGACCTTGGAGAGCACCTTGGAAGCAGGGTGGGGTGGGGGTGTATAGACTAATGGACCTGGTTTTCCTACCCCGCCCTCAAACCCGGCTCACCTCTGCAACGCTGCCGCTTGGCTCTGCACAGCTACACGCAGTCTCTCTAGCTCCTCGCCTCCATTGCTGCCACTACAGTTGGCTGGTAACACGAAGAGAGGCACGGTTCCTAACCCAGCGCTTTCCAGCAGCATCGCTGTCTGATCTCGGGCTTGGGCTTCATTCTGTGAATCCCCGGCATGGAGAACCCGTACTGCCAGCAGTGGCGTCCCACGGGCGAGGGCAGCTCGCGCTGCCTCTCCCAGTGCTGGAGCCAAAATCTCCCCGTTCCCCTCGGGTCCGGGCAGCACCAGGACCAGCACGTTGGCCTCCGCCGCCCAGGGCCCTGGAGCTGCGGGTGGGCAGCTCAGCTCGCCCAGAAAGAGGCCTGGACCCGCCGCCCGCAGGCTGGGGACCCCCGAGTCCAACTGTCCCTCGGGAGGCTCCAATGTTTCCACATCCTTGTCGCACAGCGCTGCGATCAACGCGGACTTTCCGGTGCCCGGGGGCCCCAAGAACAAGGCAGTCACGTCACCGCTTGGTTGAGGCATGGCTACAAAGAAAGAAATGGAGAACACCCCGGTCAGGCAGCCTTTTTCTTAGCCATCCACACTGAACCCAGAATCCCACTCCTATCCTGGGCGTCACTCACCAGGACCTAAGGCGTGTCTCCCTATGGCTTAAAAAACACACACACAGAGAAAATGGGTCTCTGGCCTCTCAGCCCTCAGGGAACCCAGGTGTTTTATCCTCCCCACCCCCACCTCCCAGGAACTTGAAAATCACCAACGGAGCAAACAGTTTACACACCGTGAGCACAGTAGGGGTGGCGAGGGTCAGCAGCTGAGAAGTCACGCCCCTGCAGTCCGGAGACTGAGGCCGAAGAGGCCTGAGCACCCAGTTTGGGGACCTAGTGGACGCGTCCTGGGAGCTCTAGACTGACGTCATTTCTAGGTGGGAGTAGGTCTTGAAAGTATGACCTCAGCGCCTGCGCAGAACGGCCCATAAGCGCTAGTTCCCCAGCTCCGGTTTCCTCTGGGCCTGAAACAATGAGGGCGCTCAGGCGCCTGCGCGTCAACCCAGACTTGCGTAATAAGCTTGTTTGTATGGTACATGTGCCCAGCAACGTCATTTTAACAGACCCCAAAGCAAAAAGAAGGACCTCTGTCGTGATTTAATGGGGCGGGTTGGTGCGACTGTACCACTGCTGATGGAAATCCGAGATCTTGGCTTGGAGGGGGTCATCAGGCCAGATGGCGGGGAAACCAAGGGGATCCGGAGACTTGGTGGGCTCTACCCCGCTTCTTTCCTGGTGGCGGCGCTCTGGCAAGTGACTAACAGGTGCAGCACAAGGCAAGCCCTTTGTTGTACTGAAAAATCAAGGGACTGGACTTCTGAAGGGCGGAGGGCGTTGAGGCTGTTCTTGGGACCCCTGGACACACAGTGAGGGAAGAGCACATGTGGGAGGTGGGGGCTCTGGGAGGAAGGAGGGTCACAGGATGCTAGAATACTGTCAGCCAAGAGGAGGCGGGATAAAGGGCGGGACCAAAGTTTAATACCAGCCCTTAGATGAATAGATCTTTAAAGTCGGAGGTCCAGAGTCCCACGCTCTTGAGGAACCACAAACCCCAGGCATGAAATCTTTTGGTTTGATACTTCCCTAGTGAGAGTGCCAACTGGTTAAGACTCAGTGTCAAAGGTTGGCCAGAAGTACCACTGATGAGGTCAAAGGTCGTGACCCTTCGAGGTGGCTGGTGATACATGAGCAGCCCTGGTTGATTTACTATTCATCATACATGCTCCTTTCTTGACTAGAGGAGTCACAATCCCTACGGAGTACCCACACCCTAAAGAGGCCACATCTGGGAGGACTGCTGGCCAGAGGGTGGGGTGCCGGAGCCCATGGTGAATGGATGGATGTCAATAGCATTTTAACTGCCAGGCTTGCCCCCTGCTACAGGCTGTAACATCTCAGGAGTTGCGCTGAGCCAGTGGGTACCTACAGGCAGGAATGGAATGCAGTTCATAGGGAGGGACTAGGGACTAGATGGCATCCATGAGCGGCTTGGGGTAGGCGATGTGGCCAGGAAAGGAGACCCAAGATTCCAGTCCAGAACACACAGTGTGACTTGGGTCTTGGTTTCCGTCTTGTCAAAAGGGGCTGCTGCTACCCACTTCACAGGTCTGTTGTAGGCATTAGGTGTGGGCTGGGGTGGGGGGAGCATCTTGTTAAGGAGCACCTCATTTGGCATACAATATTGTCAGCAGCTACCAGATGCCAATGATGTCTCAGGCAGCATTTAGTATCGCCTTCAGTCATCCTCATAGACCCTATGTATGAATTAGATATTTGCTGTAAAATGAGGGAAAGTGAGGAAACTAACAGGAAATGGATTAGTAACAAGAGCAGTTAACTGCTCCCTCTGATGAGGGAGAGGCACACGAAGGGGAAATGGTGCTTTTCAGTAAGATGGTGTCAAAGGATTTTCAGCGTTTGGGCTCCTGTTAAGCCATTTCTGGGAAGCAGGGCTTTGCTCTAGCTTGAAGGCTGCTGGGGAGCAGGGATATTGTGACCTTAGCTAGGAGGGAGGTACAAAGCCAGGCTTCAGGCCGTGTTTGATAAAGGAGTAGCCAGGAAGTCACTTGTTAGCCAAGGTGCGGGTGTTTGGGCACTTTAGTGGTTTGGACCACATTCATGTTTTGTCTGCCTTCAGGTGGTATTATGTTGTGGTCTGGATGTCTGGATTCATCCCAGTCACACTATGGCTTCAGCTGATGATGTTGCTGTGTGAAACTGTGTTCTCTAGAACTCCAGGACTTAGCCGAGTGCCAGGCTCCCCGGATGTTACCCTGCTTTGCTTTCTCAGTGGTTATCACTGCACCCTTGTAAAGCACATCATACAGGCTCCTCAGACGCGGACCTAAGCCCTTTATATTAACTCCTCAGTTCATCCTCACACAACTACCCTGTGAGGTGGATGCTGTTCTTCCCCAGGAGTGAACGCCAATCTGTGCTAGGATCATCACATTGCTTGGTCAAACCGGCATGCTCTCCGGTTTCCATCCTGTACCCCTCCCAACCCCCGCCCCATTTCATTCCCTAACTTGAGTCTCAGTTTGCACATCCTTATAGTGGGCCTCATCACCTTCGCCAGTTTCAAGTTCCATGAGCATCCCATGAAGCGGGAGCACCCAGCTGAATTCATGGCCCAGAAGCTCAAGGAGGCGCTTCATCTAACTGCCCTCTTCCAAGGCCCTCATCACCCACCAGCGCAGCCCGAATCTAGCCACCAAGCCCTCCCCACTGCCAAGCACCCACCACTGCCCAGCCCACTAGGCTATTGGCCCCTTCTGCACCAAGTGTGGTCAGGACTTTGCCCAGGATGCCGAGCTGCATCAACACTATATGTGGCATGCCAGGGGTAGAGGGGTGAGAAGGGCTCTGTGGCTGCTGAGGCCCACCTGTGCCATGGGGCGCAGATCCATTGGGGGCCTTGGAGGGAATGCCTGGAAAAGCAGAGGGCTCCTAAGAAATAAACCTCAGGAGATTCTCATTTGAGAACACAAAAACTTTTAGTTGTTGTTGTTGTCAGGTGCCATCAAGTCGGTACTGATGCTTAGCGACCCTATGCACAACATAATGAAACACTGCCCGATCCTGGGCCAACCAACCTATCATTGCCATGCTTGAGCCCACTGATGCTGCCACTTTGCCAATCCATCTCGCTGGGGGTCTTCCTCTTTTTCTCTGACCCTCCACCTTACCAAACATAGTATCCTTCTCCAGCAACTGATCCCTGCTGACAATAAGTCTGAAGTATGAGAGATGAAGTTTGGCCATTCTGGCCTCCAAGGAGCACTCTGGCTGCACTTCTTCCAACACAGATCTGTTGGTTCTTTTGGCAGCTCATGGCACTTTCAATATTCTCCTCCAACACCATAACTCAAATGCATCAATTCTTCTACGGTCTTCCTTATTCACTGTCCAGCTGGACAGTGAATAACTTTAAAGGAACAGTGAAATCGAACAAGAGTGAGATCTTTAGAGACCTTTGTTGTTGGGTGGGGGGGCAAGATGAGACCAAAAGGAAAAACGGTGATTTGTAGTTCCCCTATTTCCAATTGTGAGGTTACCTTTCATTCTTCCAGATGGGGCTGTGGACTGCCTCACATAAACACTTGAGTCAGGGGCAGGGAAGGTGATGCTCATGGGCCCATGGTGCCTCCTGGTTCCAGATACTGAACAACTGAAGTCTCTTGAATACGAGCTGGCAGATATGGGAGCTGAGTCCTTTGTCACATGGGGGTTGTAAGCCGAGTGAACCCTTGTCTCTTCCCACTCCCTGCCAGCCTTCCTCCCCTCCGGCACCAGGGGATGGCAGTCACCCTTCTAATAATTTCTACCCTCTTAAAGAATTGTGTAACATCATTCCACTGATGGACTGGTTTTCAGACATGCAGAAAGATGGCATGACTAAGGTAACAGAAATCGTGTCTAAAAGTGGACAAGGTCTATATTAAAACATCTAAATGGGAAACTCCAACTTTTGAGTGGAAATTCCAGAGACCAGAAGGGACGGTGGTGGTGGAGACACTCAGGGCAGAGCGGACCTAGCCCTGTGGGGGATCTGGTGTGGAATCTACAGAGCAACCATCTGTTTCAGCCTGTGTTTAGCCAACATTGGCAATCCTGTGAGAATCCCCATTTAGAACCTATCCTCTGCTCCCTTGAAAGGGGTGTTTGGGCACTTTTGTGGTTTGGACCACATTC